ATAAGAATGATGATATATTGTCCTATTAGGACAATTTTTAATTGTTCTTATTGAATGATAGATCTATCATCCCAAAAGGATGATTTTTTTAAATTGTTCTTCTTGAACGATAATGTATCGTTCCAAAGAGATGATTTTTTGATTATTCAATAAGAATAATGATTTATTGATCCAAATAAACGATTTTAATTATTCTTATTGAACAATAGATCTATTGTTTCAAAGGGATGATTTTAAATCGTATCATCACAAAAGGATGACTTTTTGGTCGTTCAATAAGAACAATGATGTATCATCCTAAAGTGACAATTTTTTTAAATTATTCTTCCTGAATGATGATGTATCATTTCTTTAAGATAATATTTTAAATCATTCTTATTAAATGATAATACATTATTTTAAAAGGAATAATTATCTTTATCATTTCTTAGAAATGATTTGTATCTTTTCTTAAAAGCAATTTCTATCATTCCTTTGAAACAAAATTTTCAACCAGATGATTTTTGCATTATCTAATTAGATCAATCAGAATTGAAATTTTAGCTTAACTCTAATTGACCATAAATCAGACAGGTTGATTTAAGTTGATTTTTGGCTGGTTAATAATTATGTTTGATTAATAGATGATTGATAGATGATTTATCACATGTCTAATTTTTTTGATTTCAACCAGTGATTAATATTATTAACAACAAAAAATTTATTATTAGTTAATTAAAAAATATATAGATAATTTTATTCTCAAAATCAGATTCAAACCCATGACTGACAAAATGGTTTTATTCTATGACTAGAATATAGATCACAATTAACTTTTCTCACTAAAGTTGAATGTAATAAGCTGTATATACTAGTCAAAATAATTATCAAATATAAATTTAGAATAAATAAAAGTAGCATTTAGACATAATCTGACATATATTTACAAAGAGTTTTACAATGTTCAAATACAAGCAAAATATGATCATTTTATTAAATTAATCAACCAAAGTAATCTAACTGCTATCATATTTAGAATTTGTCTTAGACAGGTTCAATTTTAATACCATTTACATAATAATTCTCTAATTACATAGATCTTGTCAACTATCTCATTCAGAAAATCTAGTCTTTTAGAATCTTTGTTGACCAATTATAATATCTGAATATCAATTTTACATAACCAACAAATAATGATTTTCTCATTAAAGATGTAAAACCTTATTAATAAACATCATTTTAATCAATAACCAAGAACTTAAATCACTAATTTTATATTACATCATATATTTTAAAAAACTTATAGTAGGTAAAAGTCTTTATCTCATACCTTACAGTAATATTAAATATAAATCTTTGGATCTCTTTCAAAAGTCAGTAAAATTCCAAATTGTATCTTAGATTACAACATAAAGTTATTAAATATCCAGTTCATACAAATAGATTATTTTCACAATTCATATTAAATATATCACTTTTATCAGAATTTATTTATTTCACCTCAAATTAATATCAAAAAAGAACAAATTAGACTTCTATTTGGGATAACACTTATCAATAAATAATTATTAAACAATCAACAAAGATTTTTCTCAACTACATTTAGTATTATTTCATTATTTTTGTAGGAATAATCTGTTGCATGACTCTATTCTTTTTCAAAAAAAGCAATATACTTATATAGCATATCCTGACTGTCATCATAACTTAAATGAAAATAAATTAGATTTAAAAATTAACAAACATTATAGATCTTAAATGTGCATTCTATGTGAATAGTAATTTACTTAATATCGTTGATATCAATAATCTCATTAGAACTAATAATAATACCAGGTTATTGATCATATTTATTTAATTAAAAGTTCTTTATTTACACTTTCAGAATAATCCTTCTTTTTTTATAACAAGTTCTACAACATTAATCTTCTTCATACCAAACTATAGAATTTTCTAGAAAATATTTTCATAATACAAACTTATTTAAAAAACTAATTATTAATCCTTATATATATCAACAACTTTTAAAACTCCAGTAACGATTTACTTATCAGTAGTCAGACATGTCGTATGCAAATCAATTTTATAATTAAATTTGTTTATGTAATAGTAATTGAAAAATTTACCTCATAGTTAACTATTAAACTTTTTAAGAGGAGGATCAAAAATGATATCATTAAAATTTTAGAAATTTTAACATCCTGTCATCACATTTTAGAAAATATATTATTAATATATATATAATTTGTGAAATGTCATCATGAATTGAATCCCCTCCTTCTCTTTTAAAATGACATCATTTCTGGCCTTTCCCTAACATATACTGCTTATATAAATTAGGTAATTAATAGAATATCATAAGATCTATTCATTTATTTTAATAATTCATCCCTTTTAAAAATTTTTTTTTTATAATTACAAGAAGTTTCGTCCTAAAAAGCTACTTTTTTTAAGATATTCTTAAAAGTTAAAATAAATATAATTTTATATAAAGAAAAATAATTTTTTAGGTTGTAAAGGTAATTATTCAAATAGTTTTTGTATAAAATGCAAAAAATTGATTTTTTAATTTAAAAATGTTTATTGGATAACATTTAACTAATAATATATGTTATAATTTCGCAAAAAAAAAGTTTTATTAAAGTGAAAAAGGTAAATATTCAAGTAAATTTTAGGTTATTCCTGAATTATGTTAATTATGTTAAAATTTCTCTAATTTTAATATAAAGAATAATAAAATTTATATATTTATTGCAGGAAATAATTAAATAATATTTCTAATTTTATTTTTAAGTAGTTTTATAACTAATTAATTAGTTGAATAATTGCAAATTTATTTGTTTGTAATATTTTAAAAAATTTTATATTTGTACTTAAAGTGTGTTTTTATTCCAAAAATAATGTAATTTTTTGTTTAAAATTAAATAAAAATAGTTGAAAAGTATTAAATAGACATAAAAAAAGGAATTTTAAAAAGTTTCGATTATTCATATAATAAATATATCAAATAATAGATGATTTTTCCAACAAGATCTTCTTAAACTGGCTGAACCGTTCGCTTTTAAAAGTTTATAAAAATTTTCGCGAGAAGTCAACGAACATTTTGATGTAATAACTGTTCGATTTTGTTAGAAATGTAACACAATTTACATATCACGAAGTAAAAAAAAAGGAATAAAATCATTTAAAATTTTGTCGATCAAATGATCGACATCTATATCAATGTCATTTGCTATGATCGACATGCGACATGTTCGGTGACTGATTAGGTCAGTCAGAAATCGGTCATGGCCATAATCCCTAATATTAATTACAAAAATTAATAAAATTAATTACTATGAAATTCTTAAATTTTCTTACAAGAAATTATGATATACCTTGGCACATTCTTATTCTACAGACTAGGAAAAAAAAAAAAAAAATTTTGTTAGATGCGAAATAATTATTTTTTTACTTTTTATGTTAAATTACTGGTGGCAGAGATCATAGATTTATTTTTCTTTTGCTTTTTTATTAGTTCAAACTTATTATATGGTCATTTTATAGATAACATAACATTTGGTTTGTCATTTCATTTATTTCAGCCAAAATTTATGACATTTTCTGTTTTTTCTTGATAATTCCGCTATTATTTTTTCTCAATTCTAAAGAGCTCTACCTCACAAGTGGAAATCAACCACGTACATAAGTAACGCACTTATCGGTAGCAACAGCAGAAGCAATAACAACGATAATTATTATGAAAATGTAATTGTATTTCAATTTTTTTTAGTTACTTCTGTGCATAAAATTATATTTGAATAATTCTGTCTTGGTAGAATCAATTCCATTCCTTATTACTTAAAGGCTTAAAGGTCTAATATGTTTTTCGATAAAATTTCATAATAACGCCAAGACAAGAATGCTAATGTTTATTTGGAAAAGATTTCATAATAAAATTTAATCAATTTACAAATATTCCGAATAATACAGCAGATAAATTATTTCGCATTTCATTCCGATTTATTCTAGTATATAAAAAAAAAAAACTAACAAAAAAATTAAAATTCGTTATTCAGGTACCGTACCTACTGCAATTACTTCGCCATCCGCAGCATTAATATCAAATTTTACATTTATGTAGAACAAAATGCACGGTGTTGATCAGACCCTATTGAAATAAAACACGGCGCTTTAATCCCGTTATATTTTTACAGTATTTCATATCTCCATTCGTACAGTAATAGAGCTTTTGCATTATATAATCCTAGACCAACTTAATGAATTTAGACAACAAACAATTTACGCTGATGAATCTATCACAAATGAGAAAAAATCAGAGGTAATATGATTATTAATTGAAGCTTATGAATATAATAAAATTACTACAAAAAAAGGAATGAAAAGAGTTTGTGAAGAATGCAAAAATGAATATTTGTAACATCATATTGCAAGCATTGTATTCGAAATTATTTAAATACAAAATTTTCAGAATGGACATCCGAAAATAATAAAATAGATAATTTAATAAAGAAATGTCAAATGGAAGCAATTCAACCTTTTAAAATAACTGAATAGATACAATATAATGATTTTCAAAATATTGAGTACCTTACTAAAGGTGGATGCTCTGAAATTTATGCAGCAGTTTGGAATGATAGAGCTTACCGCAAATGGGATTCTATCAGAAAACGACTAACAAGATATGGAAGATATAAAGTAATACTTAAAAGCTTAGGAAATGTCGAAAGTACTAATAGAAGTTGATATGAAAAGGTATGTAATTTTAGTGTTTTAATAATCGACAACTTTTATAAAAAAAAAAGAAACTATTCTCATCTCATTATAGGCCGAATCTCAATTAATATTAAACAGTAAATATGGATATTGTGCTCTCAGTTATGGTCTTACTCAAGACTCACAAAATAAAGATTATTTTCTTGTAATGGTTTTATTCGATATAGATTTAAGAAAATATTTACAACAAAATCATAATCAATTTACCTGGAAACAAAGAATGAACATAATTGTTAGTATAAAAAATGCAATTTGATACATCCATCAGGAAAATTTTATTCATAGAGATTTACATCAGGAAATCTAAATATAATTATCGTTGGCATATTAGTGATTTTGGATTTTGTGACCCTGTTGATAAACCGTTAGAAAGTATATATGGAAATCTTCCTTATGTAACACCTGAAGTTATAGTTGGAAAAGGATATACTTTTGCACCAGATATTTATAGTTATGTGGATTGGAAAACTGCCTTTTGCTGATTTTGATCATGATTATGATTTTGCAATGAAATCTAGTAAATGAAATGAGACCATATATCGTACCAGGAATTCCAACAGAATATAAAAATTTAATGATACAATGTTGGGATGCTGTTCTTTTAAAAAGACCCGATATTTCTGCCCTTGATAATGAAATTTTCAAAACAAGAAAATCAAATTATCAACATGAAAATAAACACTAATTTTAATAATGCAAAATCAAATATAAATTCTAACTCTATTAGTTCACTAATAAAAAAAAGTTAGTAATATTTACGCAAATAAAGATTTGCCTGAACAAAAAGATGCCACTGAAGGTAAGCTATTAGATTTATTTATTATATTCAAAATTAAATCAAGATTAATTATATTAATTTTTAACATACCATACAGAAGAGCACGAAGGTTATTATTTGAATTTTTAAAATAATAAAGTAAAATTAATACTAATTTTATATTTTCATCAAAAAAAGTTTATTATAGTAAGCAATATAGTCTTAAACTTCCAGATCGTAAGTAATATTAGTTTATATGTAAATCATAAGAAATTTATTAATTAATTTAATATCTTAAATAAATTAAAGAAAATATCTAAAAATCATATAGATCAGAATATTTCTACAACTATTATTGGTAAGAATTGTTAGTTCCATTATTGAAATTCAGCTTATATTATTGACTTTATGCAATTAATATAAACAGATATAAATAATGTCTAAGAAGAATTCTTCTTATCATCATGATGGTAATGAACCATTCCGTTTTTAATGTGCTTTTTACTAATGACTAAACTTTTTTTTAGAAAATCAAGAAGATTTAAAAATTGGATCAAAAAAAATAAAACTTTTTAATGACAAAGGTAATTAATTTTTTGTTCACTTCTTAATGTCATCCATCTAAATATAAATTTTTATTTTAGGAATTAATTTTATCTTACAGTAAAAAAAACATCTCCATTAAAACCAATGGACTTTATTTACGAAGTATTAGTACCTGAAGCAGGGATTGGAATCGATTTAATCGAATCTCCAAATTTTTTTTCATGGACGTTCAACCTGGCTTCATACCAGTTTCTAATTTTAGCAAAATTATCAACACTTAGACAGTATTGAAAAATACTTTGGAGTTAGATCGATTATTATGTAAAAAATAAAAAAGATTCGATTCGATTCGATTCATTTTGCTATGTTGAATCGATTTTTGTAGAATCGATTCCAATCCCTAACCTGAAGCAGCATTACGTCTGATTCAAAGCGATTACAATGACAGTATAAATTTTACAAACGATGAAATTGGGACGCATTATAGGCAAAGAAGTTATTTAGCGAGCGATGGTAACAAATTGATAAATCTAATTACTTTATTACGAACTTATAATTTAGTTTTCTAATTTTATTAGGTGACGAAATATATAATAATTCGAATCTTCATTCAGAAGATCAAGATGATTTAGCAATTCCTGAAGGTAAACTAATATTTATAATTAGTTGTTACAGAGTTAATTAATTACAATGTTGAATTTATATTATTATTTTTCTCGAATTACTTTTGGACTAGAAGCTTTTAATCGGGAATAAAAAAAGTTTATTTAAAAATATGGTTATAGAGTAGCAGCAATTATAATTCTTGCAAGAAACTTTGATTTTAATAAATAAATTACGACGTTTTATCTTCCAGATTAAAATTAGGATAATATTTTAAGAATTCTTTCTCATCATGAAAAAGAATTATAGCAACTTAACGAATCAAAATCGAATTTTTTAGTTAATGCATACAAAGAAAAAAATGATATACATATAAGGTCAAGCAAAGCGGTGCAAGCTTTTCATTGATAATAAAGGAAAGAAATCCTAACGTGCTGCTAATTTACAATATTTGTAATTTTTAATAAATTTGCTTGCGATACTGAAAATAAAATATTGGATTGTGATCGACTAATATAATAATTTTCATTGCATTGAACCACATTCGTACAAATTGTCTAAGACTGGATAAATTTTCAAACCTTTACTCGCGCACAATTGCTTTGCTTTGCAGCCTTGAGAAAATGTGTATTGAAGAAAAGTTGCAATGTCTTTGTAGGATATAAATTATGTGTGATTTTTTTTATTTCATTCAAAATTAACATTGATGAATCATATGAATGAATCAAAAATCAAAATCTTTTATATTGTAACTTATATTGTAATTAGCTTTCCTTTGAAATTGAAATACATTGCAAGGTCTTTGTAAAACTTTCCGTTTAGGGAAGTACTGAAGAAAGCGGACAGAAGAAAAAAAGTTGAAGTTTATCATGACAACATTACGAATAGCTCTTCGAATACAAATTTCCGAGTTCTTCGAATTTCTAAAGTTATAAATATTACATAACAAGAACCTTCATCAAAGGTTTTCGATTTATTAAATAAACAAACATTTTAAAGTCTAATAACTGCCGATGTATGTACTCTAAAATACCAAATGTTTATTCATCTATATAATTCTAACTGCCAATTGAAACTGCGCTTCAAAATAAGCCAAAAATGAAATAAATTGTACAAATCGTATTTAAGTAATTTGCGTAATTTGAAACCGAGTCACTTGAATGAGTCGATACATGTAATCAAATGACGTATATAGTTAGTTATCCTTTCAAATTACAATAAATGTTTATTTCTCCTTTCTCACTAATCTAACAAATATAAATAAATTCTTATATTTATTTAGGACCCCGAAAAATACTAAAATAGGTAAGGTCCAGCCAAGAATAAAAATCTTAGCTGTTCGCATTTTTTTCAGGGCCGGAATTATGATAATTCCAGTCAGATACTATAATAGGTAATAAACGTCTGGCCGAAATATCAAAACTATCTAAAAAAGGAAAGATTTACATGATTATTTTGGCTGTTTCAGACGCATTCTCTCCTCTCAGGGTCCTATTTATTTAAGAGTTTTATTACATTTTTTTTATGATTGAAATACTTTCAGCGCGTTAATACAGGTCATACCGTACGGGTAGTTCGGAAACATGTATGGTATGGATTTTCATGTATAGAATGTATGGTTTTACAATTGATGCAAATTCATACCGGTATAAATTAGATCCATACTGAGAAATTATCCATACTTGGTTATTAAATATATTAAATAAAATTTATTTCATTATTGACATTATAGCACAGTATAATAATATGATTGATGATAAATACATATTAAGTAAAAAGATTTAGCGATATGAATACATATTAAGTAAAAAAAGATTTAGCGAATTAAAATAATGAATTTGTGATCAATAAATTTCTCAAAAAACTTTTGTTTACTAACTAAATTAATTATAGTAAATTTTGAAAAATGTCTGTAAAATGTTTGTAAATTAAATATAAAACTTATTAAATATATATTCGGCCTTGTATTTATATAAATTATATTTTTCGTCGTGAATATCAATTATTAAATTTATTTCCTTTTTGATTATAGAAATTTTCCTTGATTGGAATAAATATTAGGCTGATAAATCTCAGTTTTAGCAAAAATAATCACCACAAAAAAACAGATTAGTACGAAAAAAACAAATCAGTTTAACCTTATATTATATTTGTAATTTATATAGTTAAAGTATATTACATTAAAATCAGATTTGTTTTTATTTATTTTTGAAATTTTATGGATTGTAAATAATACGTAATATTTATCTAATAGATGATTAAAGTATATAAAGTGGAAGCCGCTTTTTTGAATGAATAAAATAAATATGTTAATATAAATTTTTTTCTAGGGGTATTGAATATCATTCTTAGGCTTTTTTTTTTATCATTTTTTTTTATTTTTTCTATTTTTATTTTATTTTTTATTTTATTTTTTATTGTTTATTTTTTACTTTTATTATTAATCTAAAAATTCATACTGGTATGGTTTTACATCAATTGTAAAACCATACATTCCATACATAAATATCCATACCATATATGATTACTATATACCCAAAATAACCATCACTCTCAATCCTTCTAATCCTCTCAATCTGAAATCAATATAACCCTCAATAATCTGTCTTTTCAACTATTGCCACTTCTTTTTCCAACTACCTTCATTCTTTTTTCATATTTCATAATTTTAACTAGTTTTTTTTCCTTTATCTTTTCTATTATCTTAGCTTATCCCTTTTCACTCAGTTTTTTTTATAAATTTTTTTCTGAATTCCATTTAAAAAAATCTAAACAAAGTTTGCCACTTCTACGTGATATTTAGAATCAACAGTTATAGGTTAATCTATATCTGGTTAAGAGCAAACATTCATTTGTAAATTTAATTCGTTAGTTTATATTTATTTATTTTACATTATTTCCTAAACTTATTATCATATACTGAATTTGGATATGATATTCAGTATACTATATAATGAATAAATTGTTAAAACATTACTGAATTTTCTCATTATAATGAATTGTGTAATTCAACTATAATTATTTTACTTCTTTATTATGATTAGCTAATCTAATAATCATATGAGAGGTAAGATATTTAAAAACCCTCCTTCTCTACATAATTATATCATATGTGTCACTTTCCTTAGTAAATAGTATTAATTTTTTAGCATAACCTATATTATATATATCTAAGATCTTATATTTTTATTATAAAATAATTTAAACTTAACTCAATTTTTATAAAATAATATTTAATAATTTAGATTGTAATTATTTTTATTATTTATCATTATTTAATAATACTTTTTTTTTAATATAATTAATTAAATTTTTATTTAAAAAAATATATTTGATTTTTAAAATTCTAGGGAGTAAGTTATTTTTATAGATTATCATATTTGTAATTAAATATTTTATTTAAAATAATTATTACTTATTAATATAATTTTTTTTATTAAATTTAGTAAGTATTAAAATTTTAAACTTTTATTTAAAAGTAATTTATAATAATATTTATTTATTATTTAAAAAAAAAAATATATTTAAATTATAATAATAAGAATACTAGATATAAATGATATAAAAATTATAATTCTAAATTACTTTAACAAAATTTTTCAAATTAGACAAATAAAAATAAATTTGTAGATAAATTTATTCAATAAATTCAATTAAATACTTAAAATAAAAAACAATTATTAGAATGGATTTCTTATATTAAATTTGTAAATATTGAGTATCTTGATAGAAATAATTTTAGTATTATATATAAAGCTAGTTGGTTAGATAAATTTATTTAATCATATTTATATAAGAATAATATTTGGATTAGAATTGATAAAATTAATGTAATTCTTAAAAATATTGATAAATCATCTAATTCAAATGAAGAATTTTTAAATGAGTTATATTTAATTTTTAAAATAATTTAATATATTTAGTGAAACTCATAAATGTTATAGCTAATTAAAATAAATATTTAAGTGAAAATCTTATTCAATTATGTGGATTTATTTAAAATCCTAATTCTCTAAATTATATAATATAATATAATATGCATAAAATAATAATTTAAGAAAAATTTATCAAATATTATTAATGAAAAATAAATTATTAAACTATTATAATTATATAATATTATTAATTGTCTTGAAAAAATATATCAAAAAAAACTTATACATTATGATTTTCATCATGTAATATTTTAAATATTAGCAAAATATTTTATTTATTAATGATATAGGATTATGCAATCCTGTAAAATATTTTTAAATATCTAAAAAAAATGGTATTTATAGGGTTTTACCATTTATAACATCTGAAATTTTAAGAAGTAATATATATAATTTTTCTATGATTATTTTTAAAATTATTTAAGATACTCTACAATGTTATATAAATTTAATGAAAAAATATTAGAATAATGATTCATTAAACAGACTAACCACATTACAAATTAAAAATATTATTTGAAGTTAGTATAATAATATTAAAATTATAGATTTTGATAAAGAACTTAAAAATGAAATTATTAATTTTTATAAAGCATATAAAGTATTAAAATATAATCAAAATAATAATATTTTTAATAATAAAGTTAATGTTAAAGTCAATTTACAAAAGTATCATATTAGTCAATTATTTATTTAAAATTAAATAATCATATAAATTAATATACATAATTATTTAATATATTATTTAAAATTAATATATAGAGTTATAAAATATATTAATGATTTAAATAATATAAAATATTAGAAATGTTATAGCTAATTTCTTAATTTGTGAATCACTAATAAATTGCAACTGAATGCAACTGAAAAATTATTAATGGTCTATGTATTATGAAATTAGCTGTAAATACTTCCAAATAATTGTAAACAAATATAAAAATTATAAGTTATAAAAAAGTTTAATTGTTTATTTATAATAAGTAACTTTTGATAGAAAATTGTAATAATAAATTTATGAAGAAATATAAACTTTGATATTGACTATTTTATAAGACCGCTAAAGTGAGACTTGATCTTTAAGACTAGATCCTAAGTTTTAAAAATTAAGATTCTGGATTCTTACATGAGTTTAATATTAATTTTTAATAAATATTCAATTAATAAATTATCATTAAAAATAAAATACCAATAAAATAAAAACTTCTCTAAAACTAGCAAATTTGTTGGAACTTTAAAACCATTTAGAATGGCTTAACATCTCTATAATATATTAAATAATAATAATAATATTATAAATTTATAATCTTCTTTATATTATAAAGATTAATTATAATAATATATTATTTATATTATAATCATATCATTTAGATTTGAAAATTTGTATGATTATAAAAAAAAATATTATAAAAGAAATTTTCTTAATAAATATATTTATAAGTAGTAAGTGATTATATAAAATGTGATAATATAAGGGTTAATTATATATATTTACATAAATTGATAACAAATTATAATGATTTTATTAAATTAATTAGTATTTTAATTAAAAAACAGTTTTTAAAAAATGTAATACTATCAGTACTTTAATTGATAAAATTTTATAAAAATAACTAATTTAAAAATAAAAAAGTAAATACAAAATAGTAAAGATTAATTCGTGATCCGCCAATAAACCATAAAAATTAATTAGACAAATTTGGTGAACTTTATGTTGATCATATAATAAAATGTTCTGAATGGCAAAAATGTATCATGTTACAAGTATAACTTTAATATGTAATTTAACGTGAATTTTTATTTTACAAACTTAATTGAAGCAATTTAAAAGAAAACTTTTAGCTTGGCTTGGCTTTGCTGGATTGTGAGATTCCAGGTATTTTATTAGTCATTGAGAATGACAAAAAATTGAAAATTTTTACTTTATGCTGCCTAAAAACTAGCTATAGCTTGTTCAGACAAGTTCTTTTTGGACTTTGCAGTGAATCTTGCTATCCAATTATTAATAGAAGACACTTCTGGAATTTCGATATCGTGTGCTAATTCACCACTTTCTTGCTTTTCAACTAGTTTATCTCGCATGTTATTCCATTCATTCTTCTGTTTTTGTGAACATTACCATCTAAGAAGAACCGTTCTAACAGAACTATAACTTGTGGAGTAATTCTTTTTTCTGAACCTTTTTTACAATATTTTTGATTAGGCTTTAGTGCCCAACCACATAGTAACGGAAATACCTTTATATTGCTATTGGATTTGTAAATATCAGATTTTTCATAATAAGCAATACTGAATCTTACAATTTTTTTACCTATTATATGACGTATTGGTTATATAACTCAAAATTTCCCTTTCGTTATCATCTATAATAGATTCTTATTATTTAGCATTTTTTCATAAATTGACTTTTTGAACTTACCAATTTTTTTGGTTTGCGTTTCCTTTACCATTTCATTTTCTAAAATTTCAATCATTCCTGCTCGATTTTCCTTTTCATTCATCATTATCCCTCAATTTTCCAATTCTTCTTGCAATTGTTTTACCTTTACCTGTTTTACACTAACGTCTGAAAAACAAATTTTTATTTATCAATTCTCTAATTCATTGGTATAATGTAATCATAATACTTACTTGAACTATGCGGTATTAGTATCTTCCAAGAAGATTTTGATGTTTTATGCAAAGAAATTTGAGGTTGTGGCATGTGGACTTCGTCTTTCATCCAATTAGATATTTGATTTGAAGTGAAGTTTTCCATTCACCAATGTGAGGTAAGACCCTTGCTTGTATATATCTATCTAATCCTTCTTCATCAAGTGACCTCCATTCAAAATAATTAGAAATTCTGGGAATTGTTTTTACTTTATTTCCTTTGTTTCTTTATTGTTTTCAAATAATGTGTTAAATCAATGTGTTTAATCATACATCAAGTCAATTTTCTAACAAAAAAATTATTTACCGTCATCTCTATCAGGTTCTAAATGTGCTACACAAATTCTAGCAATATCTTCAATTGCTTCTTGAATATTTTCACCATTCCTTATTTCAAATCCCAATTTAACACTCCTTTTAATCGATTGCGAAATCTATTTGATTCAACAATTAATATGATGATTCAAGTAAGAAAATTTTTGAAATTCAAATTTATATATACCTGTCCTGTGCATGATGTGAGTCAATAGAGATTTTTGCCTCTCCAGCTTCTAAAAATACCCATTTATTTACCTTTACATTGTACTATTATTTCCAATAACTCAATATTATTATCATCAACTCGGAATTATGGTAATGGGACCATTATCAGAAATGATGCTTATCCATTCAGGCTTCTTATCAAGAACTTCTATGACCCCATGTAAAGATGAAGCAGTAAATCAGGCATCTGCTTTGCATCACATGACCAGTGATTAAAAGCTTCAATACGGATTTGACTATTATTAGATTTGTATAAACTAGAACAGAATATAAAGACCACCCTTTTTACCATAAAAACTTGTTTGGTTTCTCTTGCAGTTTGTGGCTAAATTTTCATTTTATAATCCACTAAGAAAACTGCTCCTCCTTCGTCTAATTCCAATATTATTGCATTGAATTAAAAATTCAAGTAGACTTTTTTCATTTGATGGGATAGGTAATAAATTAGTTTTTCTTCGTAGATTTTCAAATCATTAAGAGAGCCCAAATCAACAATTTCCTTGAGATCATTTAAAAAGGTGAATAACTCTTGACATTCATTGCATATTTGAGTAATTAGTTGATCGCAAATTCCAAAAGCGTACATTAGGCAATGATTAATATAAGGATCACATTTTATTGTACCATTTTCTAATATTATGAATTTTTGTTCATATGATCTTTTAATGTAACGTTGTAAATTCTTGGCACGTTGAATAAAAATATTCTAAATCATTTAGATTTGCTATTAATAAGTTGTTTATTTTATATATCAATTATCAATCTAACTTTACCTGAATTTCTATTGAACTAATTTCTTTTTGAATTAGATTTTTCAAACATCTGAATACTTCGTATCCATAGGTATTACAAGTAGCACAAAGTCCTCCTATATCTTCTCTATACTGATAACGATTTCCTTCTAACTGACAATAATAAGTCGTTCTTTTTATACCATTTGGATATGTTTCCTGAAATTTTTTCCAAAGTGCTTTTTTTTGTGAATTTAAGATAAAGAACAGGTAATTGGGTTTTGACATCTGATTTTTAATATGACATAATAACGTTTGCTTTATCTTCAACAGAATTGCTAAATTGTTTTAGCTTTTCTTGTGATAATTTAGCTATTATTCTTATTGGTTTCGCAATTTGCTTAGCGCCTGGACTATTTAACCTAGCATATTTACGAGCATCAAAAATTGTATCAATAAAAAAAATATAAATTAATATAACTGACATACAAGTTTGACTAAATTTCTTCGTATGAAAAAATCATCTACAATTATTGATAAAATTCTCCTTTTTCCATCAGACCTTTTTTGTTACTTTTAAAGATTCGTTAAAAGCAAGACCAAAATTTATTTACGATAGGATTGGAATGGTCATCTGGGAGAGACATATTAAGAGACATATCAAGAAAATTATTTTCATATAAATAAAGAAGGACATGTTTATCGTCAGCTGGATTTTCAGTTTTGGTCCAAAATTCCTTCTAAAAAATATTATTTTATGATTAAAAATAAAATTTTTTTTTTCCCTATGTAACTTACCTCCGATTTGTCAAATGGCGTGATATTAGTACATCCAATACTACGTAATAGTGCTTTTCAAGCACGAAGTTCTCTTTCTTTAAATTGATGTTCTTCTGGATATATATTTTCAAGAGCGTTATAAAGTAGTTCTATTATGCTACATTTATGCTCTTTCCAATTAAGCAAAAATTCATACCAGGGTATTAGCAGGAGTAAACTTGTATAAATGATATTTATAATTGCGTCATCATAATTTCATTCATTAACTGTACAAGAGAGTATTCGAAGAATATTTACTAGATTTTTGGTTCTCTCATGATTAATACCAGATAAATTTCTTTCATCCCAATTTCGCAGTACTTCTATTTTTTTCCAAACTTCTTTCCAGACTTCATTTGGATTTTTTCCGCTAAATTTGAACTTTATTGCTCGTCTTGATATAAAGCTATTGAACAATGTCGCTGATGAATTTGTTGTACAAATAATGTTATTTTTTTCGCACTAATTCTATAAATGAAAGATGACAAATATCCTAGACCTGCATATCCAAACTCTCTTGATCTGAAACCGTGATCATTCCAATAAATATTTGCAAATTATCAACTTTTAATGTAAATGGTTGGAAAGGAACATCGTCTAAAATTTGTTTGTTAATTACTCATTATTAAAACCACATATTAACGGTTCGGAAAATCTTGTTTTTGAACTGAATAATAAGTTCATTGCGTCAGAAGAAGTATCATAAACAGAACTTATAATACCATTTGCTTCACAAATATAATCAGGTTGAAAGGCAGCAACGGAAGTTCCTTTAACTACGGTAATTAAAAAGTGAGTATTATTAAGTGTGACAAGAGTTTTCATTTTTAAACGTATAGATATAATACGTTGTCACGTGACTGCCACCAGTAATGTCCAAATATTCCAAAATGTGATACTTTATCCTGTTTTCCTACTTTTAATAATGAAACATCATATTGTTTACACTTACTCATTATTATAAACACTGTTTTAAAGGACAATACTTTTAAGAAACGAGAGATTCAGACGCGAAGTATATTTTCATATTACAATTATCACCGCTGATCATTAGTAAATTTATCAAATTTTTTATGTTTCACTGGCGGATTAACTTTTATGAACTTTTTTTTGAATTTCTTTGTTTGAGTTCCATAATAAATATTAATCACCGTATATCAAATAACAAACTTAGATTTAGTAAGTTAAATTTTAAATATATAATATTATTAAAGATGTCACTGCAACTAGACCTTACTAACCTGCAACCTGCAATACTATATTTTTATATAGGCCTCAACCGTAACTATTTTGAAAATAGGTTGAGAAGCCATCTTTAAATATCACAAAATCATGTGAGTTATGATAATAGTAATTATATCAATTACAATAATATATAGATATATCTATTATAATAATTAGTTAATTCAGATATAACACTGTTACAGCATGATGAACGTCACTCTAGTATAGGCTAAATTATAAAAATAACTTGACAATGCTATACGTAAATTGCATTCTTTGTGTATCTTAGAGAAATTCATCTTTGTGAAAAAGATAACATAAATATGTTGTAAAATTTATTCTAAATACCACGTGAATGAATCGTGTAAATCAGTGGCGTTGTTAATTTACTTTATGAAAAATTATAATTTAAATCGATCGTTAGGAATTTTTTTTCAACTTTTTTAGAAGGCTATTAACAATAGAGAGACTCGAGTCATAATTCAATCCACTACTGAAAGGAAACCTAAATTGCTCGCAATATTCAAAAAAAAAAATAAAAAAAAATAATGCATTCGAGGCGATTCAACCTTCCCAAAAAAATATTATAATTTTATTAAAAAAAACTTTACCAATAGAACAAGCCTGAAAGAAATTACTTAAAAAAAATTATAATTTATAATTTAATGAAAAACATAATATAAATCAAAAAAAACTTATCCATGCAGCAACAAAACGTCTAAAAAAAACTACAGCCACTCTTTCTATAACGAATTGTTTGTTCTAGGAAAAAGAAGTTTGCTATGAAAATTTACTATGTTATCTATAAGAACCATTCAACGAATTAATATAAATTTGAAAATTACAGAGAATAAAGAGAAATGACTAATTGAAAACAAATAATTATGATCTATATAAAAGGTATCGATTAATAAAAATAAATCATAATATAATAAATTATAATAAAAAAAAACAGTTAATAAAAAAGCATTATCACTGCGACCCTCCGTCAGAACCCGAAAAGAATTGGGATGTTTGCTATTACAATCTAATTACGATACATGGTTTCTAAAATTTAATTTAATTTAATAGCAAACAGATTATTCACAAATAAATTAATATCTCATGTGGATATATGACGGTTAGTTATTATTTTAAAGTGTTATCGTCTTTATACGTATTATTAACTAGCTACTTTGTGAGTATTTTTTCTCAATTATTTGGTTCCATTGAAAATTAGTAATAATATTATTCGCAACTCTCGAGCATACGTGCTTATTTCCTTAATGATCGTTATTTATTATCAGAAAGTATTATGTAACTACCAAATTTGAAAAAGGCAGAGTGCATTTAACAGTTCTATTCAAAAATAAGCCTTGAAATTATTTTTTTTTATAAATATAGTTTTGATCACTTCAATACGCACTATTTAAACTAATTCATTCCTTTTGAATCCGCTTTAGAATGAATTGATTACATCACCAGAAAAGTTAGTCGCGAAATTAAACTCTATTGTACTCGGAGACATTTCACAGAGATAATATTAGAATAATATAATTCAAAGAAATAAAAAAAAAAATTTTGATTTTATAATTTTATTAAAAAAAAATTTTGAAGACTTATTTAAAATAAAATATAAAAAATCTCGCAAATAAATAAGTCTGTAAATTCACGATTTCTTCATCTTCTTCCTCTTCCTCTTCCTCTGCTTCTTAACAATTCTTCTCTTGTTGGAATCTTTGGATATAAAAATAATGGGATCAAAAATAACAATTAATTTTTTTTTAAAAAATTAAAATGTAAATTAAAAGAATATTACTTCTAAAAATGTATCCTCTCCGATGATTTCCCATAAAGCTCTCCTATCTCTTTCTGGAGATAAATTATCGTTACTAGGAAGAGCTGATTCTTCTATTCTTGCAGGAGATGCACTTTCTTCTGCTTGACAACCAACTTCATTTGTAGGCATTTCTTCTGTCTGACAAGCAACTTCCATATCTATTTCCATAAAATTAGTTAGTATATTATAATACAAGTAGGAGAAAAATTAAGACATGGTTTCTAATCGCCATATATAAACCTCACAAAGATTTTAAGCACAAAAATACTATAGGGTTTTTAACCAAAACGAATGAAACGCACAATCAAAGATCTTCATAGGTTTCTGGTCGTCCTGTATAAACCACATAAGAAAATTAAAATCCATAGGGTTTTTAACCAAAATGAATGAAACGCACAATCAGACATCGTCATAGGTTTCTGGTCATCCTGTATAAACCACACAAGAAAATTAAAATCAATAGGGTTTTAAACCAGAACGAATGAAACACATAATCAGACATCGTCATAGGTTTCTGATTGTCCTGTATAAACCACACAAAAAAATTAAAATCCATAGGGTTTTTAACCAAAATGAATGAAACACATAATCAGACATTTTCATAGGTTTCTAGTCGTCTTGTATAAACCACACAAGAAAATTAAAATCTATAGGGTTTTTAACCAAAACGAATAAAACACACAATCAGACATCGTCATAGGTTTCTGGTCATCCCGTATAAACCACACAAAGTTTTTTAACGCTTTAGAACGGCGTGTGCCAGTTGTTGTGCTTCCAAAAATATATAGGGTTTTAAACTATAACGAATGAAATACAATTAGAAATACAAAATTTGACCTACTGTTTTGACGTAATATTTTTTTTTTGTAATCGTGCTTCCTTTCTTTTTCTTGCAGCTTTGAGTTTTAATCCCTTACTAGAATGTTTATGTTTTCCCATTTTTATTTAGTATCATAATAAAAATCGACGAAGGGGAGTATGAAGTAAAAGATGAAAATAAAGGAAAGGAGAATGGAAAGATAAAAATAACATTCCAATTATATTTATATCTTTAATTGATTTCTAAATTTGGAAAGGTTAAACATGGTAAATTAAACTCGAGCATGTGATATAATATTAAAATTAAAATTAATTTTTGTTTAAACACGCAATAATATAATATTCATTAAAAGAAAGTTAAAAGATATGAAAGTTTGTTTGATGAATCTCAAAGATTTGAATTTGAAAACATGGAATAGATTCAAACTTTAGGATAATCTTCAAATATATAAAAAGGGTAAAATTTCATTGATGTTATTTTTTTTTTTATTCATTTAATTAGTTTAATAAATCAAAATTCGAAAACGAATCATTTAGAATCAAAATCAAATATTCGAATCTAACTTACTACGACATGACGATAGAACTTTGGAAGGAAAGGATTTATTACATTGTGTATTTCGATAAAAAAGTATTAGCTAGTAACATCATAGGCTTATTGCAAAGCGCCGGCAGTTGGAATTCTTGTATTTTTATTGAATAAAAATAAAACCCTTGAATTAATTTTTTTTTTTTTTAAAAAATTTCCAAGTGAATCTACTTTCGCCATGCTCAAAAAATCATTGCTATCCCCTTAAAAATAAACATTCGATATACAGTAAATTACCTCATACGAAATAAAAGATATTAATACTGAAAAAAAGATAAGATTTCAAATTTCAATATCGAAAAATAACCCATCTTCTGAAAGAATCATCTGCAACAATAAAGATCTATACAAATCAAATAATTAAACTTAAAAAAAAGAAAAGTATTTGCTAAACTTACTCAAGGACTTAACTTTAAAGCGAGATAACGATTCATTTGCTGATTCCCAAATCAATTATATATATAATAAATTTTCATTATATTGTATGGAAATTTTCATTCCTAATAATCCAATAATAATCATCGCAGAAGTAAGAATTAAACTTGAATTTCAAATGAAATCTCATTTTGCTAAACTTCAAATAAACGATTTTAATTATTACCATTCATACAATATATATTTTTCTTAAATAGATTTCTTTCTCGTTATTTTATCTTGGCAAATCATAATTTTTATATAACTATTAGAAACTTAACTAGGATGATATTACATGTAATGGTTAGCGAACACTAATTTTTTTTTGGTTTTGCATGGATCAAAAACTAATTAAATAAAAAAAATTGTTTCATCAAATTATTCATTAGCAGAGGATAAATTCTTTTTCTTTTAAAAATAAAAAATAAGAATTAAAAAAAAGAAAAATACAACATCCATCATAAAAAAAATGATCCAAAATTTCAAAGTGCATTTCATTTTAAAATGATCTATTAATTTTATCATAATAGCGAATTATTTGCGTTAAAAAGAGATATTGATGAGAATTAATCTAAAGATTTAGTTATTAGGCATTCTTATTAGCTTTATTAATAAATAAAACAATTTCAAAGAACAAAAAACGTACAATGTTTTGAACTCCTTTTCTTCTATGTCAATGATTCATTACGTTGTCGTAAGTTTGTCTAACTTTTCGAATGATTGCTGTATTATATAATAAATTTGATTATTTCCTTCGCTCATATTATCATGGTTCCATCATAAAAAAATGTAGACACATTGTAAGACTAGTGGGATTGGAAGAAATTGGAATTTGAATAAACTAAATCGATTTTAATCGGTTGCTGTGCTGTAAACGATTTCAATTCTATTCAAGCATTATGACCACCTTATATGCATGATAATAGCTCACTGCAACAAATTATAAAGCATCAAAGCATTACAAGGGCTAGTTGCATATTTTTCATAGTAATAAAAAAACAACCATGAAATTTCAGTCCATTTGCCTTTAACGAGTTTATTTCCCTTTGGTTTGCAAAAAAGAGAAAGAAATTAATATTCATGATATTGTAAAGGTCAAATCAAAATAGGATTTTGGTTAAATAATTTTTGTTCTTATCTTTATTCGAAAAAATTTCACTCTCAATAAAGATCTTTTTTTTTGAAATAAATCGTTTCTAAAGTAGATTTTGACGATTTTCTGCGAGAATGAATCCTACATCATTGATGACTTTAAACTATATACTGATTCTTTAGAGTTATAATAAACTTTAAAGTAAAACCAATAACTTCAGTATCTTTTAACCATATAACAATTTTTATTGATTCGCTTAATAGTTTTAATCAAAGAAATAATACATTGAATATATATGTAGTAGTTCAGTTACTTAGTATACGAAGAACTTGTATCTTTTTATTAGTAATGTTTTTGTTTCTTTTTGGTGATGTTAAAGACTGGGGAAATAAAGGTGTAATATTATGGAGTTTATTTAAAGTATATTGAATATTAGACTTCATACTTTGTTGCACATTTTTGATTTAACTCCCAAATTTACCCAAAAATAGATTAGCTGACGATTAACATTTTCTATTTTTGGCAATACAAACAATGTGATTGGCAAATGGATTATGTATAACAACTTCTTCTTTTATTAATGAATAGAATAGTGCGAAAAAATAAAATTAAAAAGGTAAATTAAAAATAAAAATAAAACTAAATACATCAACTTGAATTTTTTTTTAATTTTTTTAATATTAAATATAATATGATACATAACACATGCAGATATAAACAAACTTTATTAAATATATATGTGTGCTAAAAATGCTAAAATAAATATAATATAATATAACGAAAGAATTTTTTATAATCTCCAAAAATAAATAAAAATTACGATTGTATTTTTATTTCTATCTCCATTCCACTTTCCTTTTCACATTCCTCATTTTTTTTTTCTTTCCTAAGCCGTGTAAAATAAGTTCTACATATTTCTTTCACATTATCCATATGATGGCATTTTTTATTTCTGTTTAAAAGTAACACGGGAAATGACAAAATTTTCGTATCTATTTATATCCTCCAACAAATCTTGTAATGTTTCTATTTCCTGTGATGCTTCTGTGATGATTCTTGTAATGTACTCGGTGATGTTGCTTGTGATGAAGTTTCCTGTGATGCTTCCCGTGATGTTTCCTGTGATGTTTCCTGTGATGTGATAATTTTTTCTTCCATGAAACTAAACCCGACATAGCCAGACTAACGAAGAGAATAGAATCTAGAATAATGTAACGCGTTCTTTTTAACCAAGTGAGGTTATTATATTCATTCGATTTCGGGTTTTTAATCCTAAATTCCTGATATTATAGAAAATCATCTAACAACCAACAATATAACACACCAAAAAATCCAACAAAACAGAGAAACAATCGATGTAGCAAAACTACCGAAATTAAAGTCAAGAATAATAACAATAATGAAAATAATTGAACACATAAAAGCCCACAAAGAACGATGAAACTTCAATTTTTGTAATTTTTTATTCCGAGACTTAATTTTTGTTAAACCATCGTCATGAAGACCATTATATAAAGCAAGTTCAACTATATTTCCATCAATGTTAGGAATTCGAATTTCTTTGGACGAGTTGAACTAAGAGTTTCAGAAATATTTTTCATACTTGCAAAAAGAACTAGTAAAAGTACCAACTCCAGCTATGGAATTCTGAACAATCCTTACAATTTCTAAACATTTTGATAAGGAAAGCGTATATTTATAAAAATAAAAACTACTCCTAATATAAATGTAAAGGCATAAAAAACAGAGTATAAAGCCATATTTCGTTCCACGTTGTCCGTAAAATTATAATTATTCTCCACAGCTCTCTTTAATCTTTCCAAATTTAATTTCCTATCCATACTTTGTTTCGTCCATTTGATTCCATCAGGTGTGACTTGATTCTCCATTTTCTGAGGTTAATTAATTAAGACCTGATTCGGAGCTCAAGAAAAAATGAATATATATATATTTTTTTGTTATTATTGATTATGAAATTTAAAATGTTATGATAATTAAATTGATATTATTTTTTTCATTTATCGTTGAATAAAAATTTAATTTTTCCTTCCATTTCGACAAACCTCTTTAAATAAAAATGAGTTATGCTTCAACAGGTTCGACTACATTGCCAATTTCATGCATCACAATAGAAATATATGCAAAAACTATTTTTGTGAAAAAAAAAAGAATATTCTTTCCAATTAGTAACCTTTGAAAGGGCATTTGAACCCCCATTTCGACCAAGGATTTTTTAAATGAACTTACCGATTCTAGTTTCACCGCAAAAAAAAAATGTATTTTTTGAGTCACCATTCATCATAATACTGTATAAAATAATGATAAAACCGAAAATATTGTCTTGTTATAGATTTTCAAAAATATATGCATTTGACTATTCAATGGAAAAAAACGTGTAACTTTTGTATTCTATTTAATAATAAAGTTCATCGGGTGACTTTGCGAACTAAAATCGGAAAAGAAAACGGTAAAATTAAACCAATATAATATTGAAGAATTAGCAAAGGTTATAATTAAACATTTTACGCATAATATGTAAATTATAAAGAATTTATTCAAATATTTAACCTGGATTAAAAAATTTTTTTTAATAAAATGGAATTATCATTTATAGACATTATCATCATGTGACATATTCAGGGAGGTTCACAATCCAAATTTAATTTCTAATATTATTTAGTACCGGCATCATTCGAAATGCCGAATAGGATTGATCTGCTACGCATAAATATTATTTTTTTTCCTTCCTTCGAAATATATACTTAAATCATTTTCTCAATAGATATTTAATATCTTTATCAAATTCTAATGAAAACAATGAAAATGCAAGTTTAATTACATTAAATAACCGTAACTAAAAATATATTTAGTTTTTTTCATACAATTTTCATCGAGAAAACCTATTATTTCTGTCGAAATGCAAAATCAATTCCGATTAAATGATTATTTATTAATTTATATTATATAGTTATTGGGCAGGGGCGGTCGATAGGCTGATATAGCCCCTGATCAATAACTCTTATATTTAGTGGTCTATTAGATGCACAATAAATATATATAAAATTTTAAACATTTTTTAAAATATTTGTAAAATATTAGTAAATAATGGCACGACTAATTCGACGGCTGAATCGACCGAAAAAGTTCTAATGTTTGCAACTATTAGTTGAAATAACTAATTATGCTACTTATAATTAATTTACAAAGAGTAATTAATAAAATTAATAAACATTTATCTTTTAGCACAAACCAATTATTTATATGAGATTACTACTTCATGCTTTCACACAATTTCCAAAAATACTCATCACTCGAACTGTTCATTTTCATTATGAAATACTAGTAGGTCTAGGAATGATGAATAAAACGTTTAAAGTATCCATTTTGAAGCTGTATAATTCCTGTACTTTTTCAAATTTACTGAATCTAACAATTCTTCAATATTTCGTTACTTGCACTCAATAGAATCTTATATATAGTTCAAAATATCATAAATTAGCATTCCTTGATATTATATAATCCTGTATATAATTTTTTAATATATACCAATTTTTTATATCACATTTAATACATAAATAATAAACAAAGTAAACAAAGTTTATTAAAGGATTAAAATGAAATTGTTGCAACATGTGAATTGAGTTGAGAATAATTCATGGTGCTTGTTACCAAAAGGAATTTTCGTTGCATTGAGTTGACTAAAATAAGAAGATATTATTTGCATCATCATTATTATTTATTAAAAAACAATTTCTAATTAGATTTGTTGACTGTTGATCAGAAAAGCTTAATTTGAAGGCAATGAAAAGTGCATATGTTATCAGTAAATCAATGCTAAAGTGGAAGATCGGCATCTTAAAAAGTAAATTAGCCGAAATCTTAATTTTTGATATCATGGTGATTGATTATTATGGGAAAAATTATAATTGTCATTGTTGTATCCTAATATTGTATGCCCTGTAAAATAAATCCGGCTATCAATTTTTCAGGGACGCTAGGGTCATTTTTAACTTGTTTAAAATACACTTTAAAGTTTCAAATTAAAGAAATTTCGATTTTTCATGAATAGACTGGACTGGCTCGAAACAAATTATTTCGCAGGCCGAACGAGAGCTTTTAAGTTGGCTCACGAGTTGTTCAAGGAATTTTGCTCGAATTTGGCTTAGAAAAATAAAAGCGTTTAGTTTGAATCTTAACAAAGATCGTTAAAAAGTTTATATTATGAATGAGAAGATCATATTAGATTTAATGAAGTATTTTACCATTCTTTTACTGATGCGTTCAATAATCAAACTTCTTTTATCGAGAATTATTTAAAATTTTTATAATACAGATAGTGGGGTGGGTGACAAAGTCACCCGTAAACTTTTTGCAAATAATATTAATTTTGATTATCAATCATAGCAAATAGCTGTCGATCCTATGATTTTTCGGAGTATAGGGAAAACCGGTACGGTACGGTTCGGCTGATCAGTACTGATCGGTACGATCTTCCAAAATTATGATCTTATCGTACCGTACCGGTTCTATAATATTTATTATAATACCAGTACGGTACGATTTTGCAGATCAGAACGATGATCGTCAAAGTGGAATCCTACTATAAAAAATAACTTTCTTTAATAATAAAAAATAAAATTGGAAATCTAATCAAGTGATCGACAACCAATCGATAAATTCTAAAAAAAAAAAAAAAAAAATCTTTTAAATTTTAATCATATCGCAAATAAAACTTTTTACTAATATCGCAAATGTCTGAATATACGTCTAATTCTAATTCTGATTTTGAAGAATTTTTTGATTCGACAGTATGTATATATCAATTTTGTCAATTAAAATAAAAATAAAATATTAAAATAAAAAAAATTTTTTTTTAAATAAAACGCGAATCGCGTTATGTATATATTATATAATATAAATAATAATTTATAAATTTAATTTATCATTTTTTTAATAAATAAATATTTATAGGAGGGTTTTAGTAATAATCTAAATTTAGAAGATGAAAATTTAAGTGAAGATGAAGATAAAACATTGTCAGATATAAAAATTGAGGTGATTTGTTTTATATTTTTTAAACTTATTTAATTTCATTTTTTATACATATTGAAATATTTATAAATATTTTAGAATAACATTTTTGCTGTATTTGGAAAGAATCTTGAAGTTTGGGATATTGAGTATTGTTTTGAATTTAAAGAATATCCTAAAACCTCAGAGATAGGTGTAACAACTGTTTATAATATTGATGGTTGAGATATTAGTAAAATAAAGAATATTTTCAAATTAAGAAATGTGCAATATTCATTGGGAGATCCTGGAAAAATGTCAAATATAAAAAATCAACCTTTTTTAGGTGTTTCTTGTAAAAGAGAATTTAGAACTTGCCAAGGTATAAAAATGTGTAAATTTGCTTCAAATCAAATAATTGAGGGTATTCATACTGAAGTTGATTTTGATAATAAATATTATAAAGAATTATTTAATCAAGAAGATTATAATTCTCATGAATTTGCTTTATGGTAAATAATTTACATATGATAAAAAATGTATTATTTTAATATTTTTATAATTCTTTAAATTTATAATTTTAATAAATAAATTTTTTTTTAGTCAATTTGTTACTGCATATAAATCTCCTTGTATTTCTATTAATTCTATACAAATACTTATTGTAATGGAAATCCAATTTTAAGAAAGGATAAGTGGAATACCACCATATGATATAATTATATCATATGGTGGTATTCCACTTGCCCTAGATTATAGTTCCACCATATAATCTGAATACCACTATATA